TAGGCAAAGGTGGGCTGCAGGTTCCATTGGGAAGCCCCGGCCCTGACCGGTCAGTGCCAGGTAGTCAGTGAGCTGCCAGGTTATGTTCGAAGGAGCCTCCCTTCAAACAGTCATCCCTGCCCATTTGCAGGGCAAACCTGGGAGCGTTTCTCTTAGCAGGAGTGTATAAGCCGCTGTCCCTCTTTGCTTGCCGTCCCGTCGTGTGGTAATAGCCCCTGTAGAATAGCCACTCCCTGAATTGACCAGGGAACCCGTTTTTTTCAGCAGACCCTCTTGTTTAAGAAGATAAATTACAGCACAAAAGCTCAACTGTCTCCCCTTCTGACATTTGTGCAACTAATTAGTTTCTGCTGTTACATTCCATCTTCTCTTTCCCGTTGGAAAAAACGTAAACATAAATACATTTTTACATACTCAGACTCCCATTCGGTTTTCAGAAGCAGGTGCGGTTCCAGTGTCTGCCCTGAGCATGTGACCAGGGCCTTGACGCCACATTTGATACCCCATTGTGTGGCACTTACTCCCACGGCACTGTATCTGCTCAAAGAAGGCCCAATTAAAAACAGAATCTTTAAAATAATGATTTTATCTTCAATTGTCAGTTCCAACCCAGTTGTAAGAATGATCGCCACCACGCACTGAGTCCCCGCTGTGTCCAAGCGCCATGTGCGGTGCCTGACCACGCTGCGCCTCCTCCACTGCCCGCCAGCCTGGCTCCTGGGGTCCAATGCCAAGGGGACCAGCCAAGTGGGGTTTTCTTCATGACTGACTCCAGGGCACATGCTTCCCCTCAAGCAGCCCAATTTCCAAACAAAGTTAACAATCCAGGCAAAATAATTGGAACTAATTGGAATATTAGACTTAGCATTTTCTTTTTTAATGTATTTTTACTGATTTCAGAGAGGAAGGAAGAGAGAGAGAAACATCAATGATGAGAGAGAATCATTGATCGGCTGCAGCTTGCACGCCCCACACTGGGGATCGAGCCCTCAACCCAGGCATGTGCCCTTGATCAGAATTGAACCCAGGAGCATTAAGTCCACAGGCTGACCCTCTATCCACCTAGCCAAACCAGCTAGGGCTTAGCATTTTCTTTTAAGTCATATTGATATGTAATTTTTTTTTCTTAGCTGACATATTTACAGACAGTTGGCCCCTGTGGCTTGCCCCTCCCTATGAAATCTGCTGGTGCTCTTTGAATTTTCAAGGGTAACCTGCCCACTTCTAATTCCCTCTGACACCCAGGGCCGGTGCCCTGCGGGCTGCAGTTGAGGGGTCATTTGACCCCTCTTCCTCCCTTACCTGAGGGGAGCCTTGAGGTGCCTTAGGCCGATAGGTGTTTGATAAGACTTTCCTTGTTCTGTGTTCTTACTCTGTTCATTGGGGGTCGAAATGCCAGTGATTCCTTATTCCCAGACACCTCTGATGGGAATTTACCATGTAGCGTAAATTACTCATGTTTATTGATATATTCGTTTCCAGCAAGAGATCAATTAACTTGTTATAATTTAATATATAAGTTTTAGATTGGGTGACACTATGCAAGTGTAAATTCTGCTTACTAACTGATATTCTATATAATAAAAGGCTAATATGCAAATCAACCAAATGGTGGGACAACCGGTCGCTATGACACGCATTGACCACCAGGGGACAGACGCTCAATGCAGGAGCTGCCCCCTGGTGGTCAGTGTGCTCCCACAGGGGGTGCACTGCTCAGCCAGAAGCCAGGCTCATGGCTGGCAAGTGCAATGGCGGGAGCAGGCTTCAGACATCCCCCGAAGGGCACAGGCCTGGCTGAGAGACACCCCCTCTCCCCCCCCCGTGATGAATGTCGTGCACCGGGCCTCTAGTTCTATCATAAAAGTCTCCCCAAGTCCTGCCAACGTTCCCTTCTCATAGCTCTCAAGTCAGTCCCTTTCTCAGCAACCTTTTTGACCCCGTTCAGCTCAAAACCGAATCCACACCTACCTGGTGGCCAGGGCGCTGTCCCCCCGTCTCCAAGTCCTGGGGAGCGAGGGTGACCATCCAGAAGCACAATTTGACCATTTACTTCATTGCCCATCTTACAACCAACCCACTAGTGCGTTCCTCAGCTGGCGAATCTGGCATCCCCAGCCCTTGGTACCTGCCCTGAGTCACCTGGCTGTCTGCTATACACGATCCTCCTGTATAGCTGTACATTCTGTACATGCTGCCTCCTGCCCCTGTACATTCATCCACACTCCTCCCTTACCCTTTTCCACCCCCACCTTTACCCAGCTGACCCCCACCAGGCCAGCTGCCTCCACCCAGTGTCTCCACAGCAGACCCTTGTACTAGCTCGTGTCCCTGGCAGAGCCTGAATTCAGTAAAACTGCCCTTCTGGCCCCAAGCAAAACCGAGATCCCTGGAGTGAGTCGACTGGTATGTGACAAACATGGCTGTGATGTGAGCCTGAGCTTGTGCACTGGGGCTCTCCCTCGAAATGCCCCCCACAGGGCAAGGGGCAGCCTCTGCTTGGGGTCCCATCACACCTTCACCCAGTCACTAACCCGGTGGCTCTGTGATAGCCACCATGGGGCTGCTTCATTGAAATTCAAACACAAGCACCCCAGGTGACCTCTCGGCTCTCACAGCCACATGAATGCTTTCACTGGGAAGGCAGATAAGTCAGAGGCTTCAGAGAGCTGGTGGGGGTGGGACGCATCATTCCTGTCCACCTCACTTTCCCTAGGGGCCCGAGTGAGCACTGGGGACAGGCCAGGGACACACAGCAAAAACAGAAGGTGGTATGTTGGTGCTCTCCGGGCTTCGGTGGGCAGCCTTTCAGGAGGCCTGATTTACGATGATTTCTTCTGTTTTTTCATGTGACTGTCAGGCAGGCGAACCTTGGGCCTCCCCTCTGAGCTCACATGGAGACGGTGTCAGGGCTTCCTTCCATCAGCGCCTCCCAGGCCCGTGCAAACTGCACGCCACATGTGCCGTGTGTAGATCCAGCTCTGACCAGAGCCGGGTGGGTTTGTCGCGGTGTCTCAGTCATTCAGGTGAAACCTGCTCTGGCAGCTTGAGGGTTGGCTTTGTCAGTGACGAGTGGGAGCAGGTGGTGTAGACAGTCCGTGAGATCGCTTATCAGAGTGGTCAGTGAACCCCGAAGCTCCGGGTCTGCCGGCCTCCCTGAGACCTGCTGGTCCTTTGTAGCCCCAGGCCCTGGAGTCTGTGTCTGCCATGGCCAGGTGTCAGCAGCCAGGCCTCCTAGAGGGGTGTCTGTTTGTCCTTCACAGCCTGTGCCCTTCATAGACGGTTCTGCTTGCTCACAGCATGGCCAGCAGAGGTGGCCGCCCTGTTCTGCCTCAGCGATATGACCAGGACTCTTGTCCAAGGTGGGCCTGTGAAGGTCCAGGAGCGCCCACGCGTGCGTGCAGCTACATCCGTAGGAGGTCCACTTTCTGACCAGAAACAAGGAACTTAGTGTGAACAGAATGATTAGCTTCCGGCTAAGAATTCTGACAATTTAGTGCCACCATTTAGAATCAGGCTAAATTTGTCAAGTGACTGAAAGTGAGGTTTTTCAGAAATTATTAGCTAATTTTTTCCATAGAGAATTTATAGTCACAATTAGTATATCATGATGTTTCCAGCAGCTCAACTTTTCTGGCCACATATGTGCAACATATATCAGTTTATTTTTGGAGATCTGAAGAATTACCTACTGTAAATAAAGTCCCCAAGAAAATTTCTCCGGGAAAGAGGTGAACTTACGGTAATATGGGTGATATATTATTAATTAATAACTATGACCAGCGCTGTTTCAATTAAAAGGACAACGGATGAGAAGGCCTAATTGCAGGAAATGCTGAATTCGAGTCCTATCAGCGGGGAGTCTGCAGCAGACTGGGCAAGGCTGCTTCTGAGGCCTCGATGTCAGATGTTTCAAACTAGCCTAAGGAAAAGGGACTTTCTCCGTAAGAAAGCGGGGCCACATGGGGGCTCCCAGAACCCCAGGACAGCGTGTGCTGATGGGACAGGGACAGCTTCCCATTGGACTGAGGCGGCCTGGCATCTATGTCTCAGTGTGGAGGAGGTAATTTGATTGGCACGTGTGCCCCGAAGTACAGGCATGGGGAGTGCAGACAGGGCTGTGGGCGACCATACGTACGGTGTGGGAGTCACATGGGAAGTGTGCCGAGAAGAGTAGCTATGGAACCTTGCTCAAGGAGGTACCAGTTGAGCCAAGTCCCCAGGATGGCAGGCTTTCTCCAGATGGGTCACCGCGAGATCCCAGGCCTGGGCAGGTGGGGTGTGCGGTGGGCTGGCCTGTGGCATGTGAGGGCAGTGGCATGAGAGAAGGCTGAGCCAGGAGGCGGGCTCAGAAATGGCGTGGCTGTTCTGCAGGTGACGGGGAAGGGGTGAGAGAACTTGGATCTGGGGCAGTTCAGAGGTTCGGACCCCGGAGGTCGGCCTGCTTTGGCCGTGTCTAGGGCAGCCCTCCCCCTGCCTGCCCCCCGGGCCACACATCCTTCCAGGGGGAAATGGCCGAGGCCATGGGAGCAGCTTCCTTGCAGGGTCACAAGCCCACGGCTCCCCTCCCAGCAGGAGCCAGGGCCGTGGAGAAGGCTCATAATGGCATTACTATCAGCCTTTCTCCTTCCTGTTGCTCATTTCTTTTACTTCAAGCACAGTTATTTTTAGAGTAATAATTTGGAGGTAATTGGCCTTCTACCTCAAAAATACCACCTTTTCCATGAAATTATTGTGTGGAAGAGGTTCTGTTACGCCTTCCTAATGTGATGTTGCCCTGAACACAATCCAGAGTGAAAAGGATCTCACTAGCCGTTTGATTTGATATTTTTATTTTTTTTACTGTCCGTTTCTCCCCGGCCTGTAATGAGAAAAATGAACTACTGTCAAGAGTAGTTGCTGCACAGCCTCCACTTGCTCTCACTTGATCTGGATTGATGGGAAAATCAGTGGGGTCTCCCCTGTAGGTAACCCCTCAACACTGTTTTTTCTCTCTCCAGGTCACGCAATATTTAAACTCACGTATCTAAGCAATCATGACTATAAACACCTCTACTTCGAATCTGACGCTGCTACCGTCAATGAAATCATGCTCAAGGTGAGTGTCCTCGCCCCGGCACTAGCTGAGCAGGGTTGGCTTCTGCTGGGCGGTTCTCAGGCCTGGCAGCATGCCCTTCACCCCTCAGTCCACGCACGCACCGCAGTTCAGCTCCCCTCTACCCACTCAGCCAAAGCAGGACGCCCCTCGGCTCCCTCCTAGCCCCCCAGGAATCCTGATTCTTCATGTACTTACTTATCCTTGTTAGGCACCATTTCTTTCCTTCCACCCATTGCCAGAAGCCCCTTGAGGCTCCTGGAGCAGACTCTAAGGAAACAGTTATTATTTGAAGACACCTTACTGTACCCAAGGTAATTCTAGCAGCCCGTTCAAAACACACACAACTCGGTGCTAGAATTGGATGTCACCACCGCTCAGCACGGCCCGCTGAGCATCGTGGCAAGCCAGGCCAGGGCTTGAGGTGCTGCGGGGCCGACGCAGTCCTGCCCTCGGAGCGCTTCCTCTGTCGAGGGCACGGACATTACACATTGAAACTATCAGCAGCCAGTGAGGGGCAGAGGGGCAGGGCCCACACAGTGTGGCTGGGAGGCTGTACCGGGCCTGTGTGGAGCAGAGGAATCAGGAGGGGCAGGCCACACAGAGCCTCCCAAAGCCATCGGGCTGGGAAAGGCTGCCCCAGGGGCTTGTTGGTTCAGGAGCCGAGGGAGGGCCCGAGGTGAGTGTTTCTAAGAGGCTCCCAGGTGCTGAGGCCGCTGCCCTGGACTAGTGGTTCTCAGACTTCCAAACAGAATCCTTTCCGCAGACGGATTCATGTGTAGTTGATCAGATAGAGGGAAAAGAGTTGCTTTGACAGAGCAGGTCTTAAAGCCAGAGGGGCTCCAGGTTGTGAGATGCATTGCCTCTGGGCGCCTCAGTTTCCCTGCCTGTGAAGTGGGATCATGGCAGCTGCACTGCCCCACACCACACAGGCCTGTGAGAACAAATCCAATGAGATGCGATAAACCCAGTTAGATGGTCACTCAATCTCTTCCTGAGAGTGGAATCATCAAGTGATAATAATCAAACGCAGCAAAGATCCACCAAGGGCCCGCGCAGTGCGGGGCCGGGCCAGCACTCACCCACCGTTCCATGGAACCTTCACAGCTCCGTGGGCAGCGATGCCTGAGGTTCCCACACTCGAGGTGAAAGGGGAAGAAAGGCACTTACCCAGGGCCATGGCTGGCAAAGCCAGAACTGGACCCCACGTTCCAGACCTTGTGCTCCTAAACCCGCAGAGTGTGCAGACTTAGGGAGCTGAGTGGGGATTTCAACGGAATGGAATTGTTTTACAGAAAGATGCTGAGGCAGAGTCCTCGTGGCTGCAAGGTTTCCACAAGTGGTAGATGAGGATTAAAAAGATGCTGCTGGGGGGTGGGGGGGTGCGGGGAAGGGACAGGAGCCGAGACAGAGTCAGACTGTCAGTTGCGGGGAAGGCCAGCAGGATCACAGTTCCCCCCTCACCCCACCCGGGCCCAGGCCGCGGAGACAGCACCTGCCGGATGCTTAGAACCAGCGAGCTAAGAGTTACTTGCCATATTGTCACCGACGGCACGGGGAACTTGTGCAGAGTACTCAGGGCCTAGGTAACGAAATATTCCATTACCCTGTCAGGGCTGGGCCTTTTTTATAGCCAGCATTAAAATATTCAAGACTTGAGAAGGATTCTAGTAAAATTATAATCCTGTGTTTGACATCAAATAATTTTCACAACAGCAGATTGATGACAGAAACACAGGTTTATGACTTCAGTATGAGACCGTGGAAGAGCAAGTGCAGAGAAATCATCTCACAGGACCAAATGCTCCCCGAAGCAGATGCTTTCCTGCACAATCCCCGAGGCCCATCGCCGCCCCTAAAATGTCTGCTTTCATATCAATTGTTTGCAGAAATACTGCCTCCTGCACGAGACTCGGGGAGAGTCACGCGTGCTCAGGCCTGATTAGTTCGAGAGCTAAGGGCCACGGTCCCGGCGAAAGATTACATTTCACTCCTCCCGTCTCTGACTTTTATAGCAATTTGAATACTTAGCCTTATGGCCGTCCCCATGGGGTCTGCGTGAGCTTCGCATCAGCACCCACCGACTGCGGCCCCGGCCCTGTCCAGTCATTTCGCAGAAACGTTTCCATCAGAGGCTCTTCAGGGCTCAGTCTTAGGCACGAATAATCCCTGTGGTGGTTCTAGAATCCAGGTGTTTTGCATAAAATGAGCGCTTTCGACTGAAACTGAAGGAGGAAACAAGGGCCAGAGGCTGATGTCAAAGAAACTATGATGAACAGGCAACTCTCCATCCAGTTATGTTTTCTTACTGTGTTTTCCCTGTGCAGAAACCTTAATGTCTCCCATTTACTGAGCAGCAACTGCATACGCACGATCTCCTTCAGCCTTCACAACTGTTCTGCAGTGTGGACGCTATTTATCCCCATTTTATAGATGAGGAGAGAGAGGCCCAGGGCCACAGAGCGCAGGAGGGCGGAGCGTCAGCTGGGTGCAGGCGGAGGCGCTCCTGAGCCCACCTTCCCGGCCGGGGAGGTAACTGAGCTGAGCCGCGTGTGGTCCCTGGTTCTGCAGGCCCGCAGATGAATCTCAGAGGAAGCATTGGTCTCTTCAAATCGGGTTCTTCTCGTGATCGAGTGATGGAGGCTGTGGCTTTATTGGCCATGAAAACTCCCTATATTTTTATGCCTCGAGCTGTAAAATGCATTGAAAGTGAAACACTCTATAGTGCATAAAATTGTGCAAGTTTTAAGCCACAGCATATTAACCAGCTAATGGCAGACCAAAGGGCGTTTTTATCTTTTGATTATTACATTAATCTTCCATTAAAATTATCTATGTGATTATCACAAAGCACTGAAGATAACAAATTTAGGAAATAGTTGGCTACTTAAGGATCATCTGGAAATGCTTCTGTCAGGTTGTATGTGCCAAAGACACACTGGAAACACTAGTTTGGCTGAGTGTGCAAACGATAGAATGCAAAGATGCTCTCATTAAGAATGATAAAACCTTATTTCCACACACTGTCTGGAGCGTCCCGATCGTCAGCCGGCCCTGCGGCCTCATGATTTATTGCTCTCAGCTGGTAACTTGGCGAGGCAGTGGGCCAAGCGTGTCAGGCCTTCTGTACGCACACCCCAGCCTTTAATGCCTGCTGCTGGCGACTATCAGAGCAGAAAGTTTGGAAGGAACAGTGTCGAAGCCTCAGCCCCCTGTGAGGTGTGCCGTCCTCGCTGCCTCCCCGCTCTGGGTGGAGGACGCGTGGCCCTCAGCGGAGAATCAACAGGTGGTGGCTGGTTTCTGTACCCAAAAGTACCCAGGTTTCTAGTCATAACTTTATATATTTGAGAGTGAAGAGAAATGGTGTTTGCTCACAAAGAGCTCCAGCCAGAGGAGCTGGGGGCAGTGGGAGGAGTGGTGTCAGGGCGTGAGGGGGAGGGGGTGCCTCTGAAGAGGTGGGGCCTGGAGAACCGGAAGGTCTGTCAGTCGAGGGCCTGGCACTCACCCCACCCCAGATCCTGGCCCAGAGGCTAGCGTTGTGACCTTGAGGCGGTGTCATTACTGCTCCGCGCCTCGGCTTTCCCGTCTGCGCGTTGGGGGTGATGACGGCCTCCCACTCACGAGGCTTTTTAATCCTTGAAAAGCACCCAGCCCTGCTGCTGCCCAGTAAAGGGCTGGGCCTCGCCGCTGGGCGAAGTCTGCTCACGGCACCACTGCCCTTCCCAGGCTCCTCCCACCTCACCTTGACCGCCACCGAGCCTGTGCCGTTCCAGGGACACCCCTCCCTGCGTTCCTCTGCTGTGCCTAATGCCCGTGGTCCTCCCCTGGCCCTTGTAAGCCCCACACTCCTCGTTCTCTCTCCAACCCCAGCTCCCGCTCCCCCTGCAGGCCTGCCTGCCGCACCTCCCGGCAGTCGCCCCTTCCTGGGTGCTCCCCTCTGTCAGCTGTCACTGTCAGGCTAGTGGACACAGACCTTGAACCAGGCATGGGCCAGGCTCAGGCCTGGCAGATGCTGGCGACCGTGACGGCATGTGTGTCAGCCCCCCAGCAGGTGGTGGGTCCGCGTGTGGGGAGATAAAAGGGCCCGAGAGCAGCAGCGGGCAGAAGGCCGAGCTCCTTGTCCGAGCCGTAAGCGGGCAGGCTGCCGGCGGGCACGTCACCGTGGCGTTCTCAGCCCTGCTCCCGCTTGGCCCTGCCCTCTGCGTGGTCCCGGTCAGTGCCACCCTCCTCCCTGAGCCTCGCTTTCCTGCTCTCAGATGAGCCCTTGCTCTGGGGGCTTGTGAGTGTGAATGAAGCACCATCGTTGGGAGCTCTGCACCTGCCTGGGCGGAGAGGGGGCGGGCGGGGGAGGTAGGGACTGAATGGAGAGCCTTGATTTGGTTTGGTTTTCATTCCTACAACGTTCTCATCCTTCAGACAAGGCAAGTGGGGCTCTGGGAAGTTATGTGCAAGCCTAGGGCTGCACAGCAGGCGAGCAGCCGAGCCAGGAAGCAGTGCACAGCCTTCTGGGAGGCAGCACATGTGAGCACGCAGGCTCTGTGGTCGGAAAAGCCTCCGCTGACCGGCGGGCAGGCCGGGCCAGCACTGTCCTCTCCAGGCCTGTGTCTCCCAGCCTGCCGGCTGCTGCGACCCTGGACCCCAAGCACAGGGGCCCCTGAGGGCACCGCCAGAGGCCCTCTGTCGCCCTGGGTGTGACGGGCTGTGTCCTCTTGCTTCCAGGTCAACTACATCCTGGAGTCACGAGCTAGCACGGCCCGGGCGGACTATTTTGCTCAAAAACAAAGAAAACTGAACAGACGCACGAGCTTCAGCTTCCAGAAGGAGAAGAAATCAGGGCAGCAGTGACAATGGCCTCCAGCCTCAATCTGCTCCGGAGCTCAGAGCTGCGCCAGGGCCAGCTGGCCAGCGCCCACCTGTCCTGCAGTCCTTAGGGCAGGGCTGGGGGGCTCCTGGGGCAGGGCTGGCACCTTAGGACGGGGCTGGGGGCATTTCCCCGGGCCGCCCGAGTAGCAGCGGCTTTAAGTAGCAGTGCCCAGGCCGGCGACCCAGAGGAGCCACCGCTGCCCGCCCCCCTCACTGCCCGCCCGCCGAGATGTACATAGCCATGCCCACACATTTCCTTACAACTTGATCAAATTTCTTGAAGAACAAAAATGTACATTTCTTTTTCCTTTTAATAAACAGGTGTCCTCTTTCTTACGGTTGGTATGACGGACCATTCTTTGGGGCAGAGGATTGATTATGTTATTCGCTTTAAAATCTGTTCCCATATTGAACAGGCAGATTGGAAAAGCCGTGGCTCGATTTCTCAGAAGAAATGTTTAGGGCTTAGTCAATAGTTTTAACTCTGCCATTTGTTTAAATGAGCGCAGAGCTCTGAGGACAGTCTCTCACTAAGGTCAGGAAGGGGACCTAGGGGTGTGTGTCCGCGGCGGCGCCATTTCCCCTCAGCAGCCTCTCCCCCAGCTCGGCCCAGCACCTCGGACCTCAGGGGGAGCCGGGGGCGAGGGAGCCGGGCTTCAGGTTATGCTCGGCTCCCGCCAGGAGTGGTCTCCATCCTTAAGTAGCAAGTGTCCATTTCAACTAGCGATAGGCCTGCCTGTGGGTTTTCCTGGCGCTTCCCCGCCTGGGAGGCCTCGGTTCCCTTCCTCCCTGTCCTCACAGCCAGGCGAGGAGCTGCTCTCCCCCACATCGGGGAGCAGTGAGCAGACGTGGGGCCCAGGGCGGGAGGCACAGCCGCCTGGCCACACTGATGCTTCTGCGGTCTTACCCCCTCCGGGTCCCCCCGCACCCACCCCAGGCCCAGGGACCAGGTGTTGCATTGAGGACCTGCCTTTCAAACACTTTTTTAAATTGTCCAGCGAGAGATGTGACCAAAACAGCATCTCAAAGTGGAGTGTGTTTCTTTGCACAGGGGTCATTTTAATGAATTCCTCTTTCCTTCTGAGGTTTGCTCAGCCAACAGAAGCAGCCTTTTCTAATGTCTTCCACCCCCAGAAACAAAAACAAATACTATTTGTAGCTTGCTATCTGTATTTGAATTTTCAGCAGTTTTATATTTAGATATCTTTGAAAAATGTAAATGACTAATTTGGTCATTAAATCCTGTGACATATTCAACATTAAAATAAAAGTCGTCTACGTGTCATCTTTGCGTCTTGCTTCGAATCCTGGAAGTCCAAGTACCTCGTCCTGAGACAGTGACCACGGTGACCACCTGGTGCCAGTGGGTGTGGAACCGAGCGTCTGGGAAACCACCGGGGCCTCCTTCACACCGAGCAAGACAGGGCGGCCCTCTGCACTCACCGGACGTTGAAATCATCGCCTCCTTCCGTTACCAGATCGGCACCCTCCTCGTATGGTGAGTACAGCACACACGCAGTTCACATGAAACATGTCCACGGGAGGGACCATTTAAGGGGAACCCTAACCACCACCCAAGTCGACCGAACATCAAGACTGTTTACGTTCCGCTCCCTGGGGGCATCCGAGGATGGGGAGGGGCTGTGTGTGCGGGCTCCGTGGCTGCAACCGTCCCAGCTCCTCTGCTCACCAGCCTCATGACCTGTGGGTAAGTGGTTAACTTCCCTGCGCCTCAGTGTCCAGGTCTGTAAAATGGGCTGGAAATGCCTACTTCTCCCAGCTGGAATCAAAACCGAGTGAGACGGTGCGTGCTCAGTGCCTGGGCAGCAGGACGTGACATCTGTCCCTTCACTTAGTCCCGTTGCCTGGATGCCACGTGCTCCCCAGTGGGTCCCTCTCCATGGGAGACCCAGCTGTGCCGAGCTGTCCCCTCGAATTTCAGACCAGCTTCCTCCGTGCCCAGGGAGGAGGGCACACAGGAGCCAGGCCATGGCCCTCTGCCTTGGGGACAAACAGCTTGACTGGAGGGCTTGGCACCATAGGGCTACACCCAGTCCAAGTCCCACCCTCGGGGACTCTACCCCGCCCTTTCTCACCAACTGATGTGAAACAAACCACCATCGAGTGCCCTCCTACCAGGCAGGCCCTGGGGTCAGGCAGATGGTGCTCGAAGTCCAGCTCTGTCCCCTGGTTGGTGGGTCCTTGGAGGGGTTGCTTTACTTCCTTGGGCCTCAGTGTCCTCTTCTGTAAAATGGGGACGTGGTGAGGATTGTATGAGTTTGCTAGTCAGGATGGCCCAGGCTCTGCTGCAACAACAAACAGCCCAAGGCCTCAGTGGCTTAACATTTCTCTTCACAGTCAGCCGTGGATCCCACCATCCTCGGGCTTCCATAAAGGTTGGGGTGCAGACGGGGGGGGCGGGGTGCTGGAGAAAGAGCAGCAAAGATGACATACTGTGGTTCAAAAGTGACACGTGTCACTTCCCACTTCCACTCATGGTTCATTGGCCAGAATTAGTCACATGGTGACATCTGCAAGGGGACAGTGGGGTAACTCGCTAGTCCTGCATCAGTGCTGGCCCCTGCCTCTTAAGTGCGGCTAGTTACTGTTCGACTAACCATTTTCTCCGTCCGTCCTCTTGTCCACCTCAGCCCCATTTTACAGATGAGCAAACTGAGGCAGAGGAGCAGAGCCCCTCGCCTGAAGCCCTGCAGCTGGGAGTGGTGAAGTCAGCTCTCCCACCTCCCACACAGCTGTTCCCAGTGGCCCTAGCGCCCTAGATCCTGAAGGCCCCACCGAGGCCCCGCTGGGAGGACCCTGTACTCGGGAAGCAGCCACGGAGAGGGAAGGGTTAAGCCCGCCACGCTGTGTCCCCACCACACACCTCTGCTTAAATGCGCAGCCCCACAGGGTGGTGTTTGCTGTGAAAGCCCTGGGAGTGATTTGTGGAGTCTCGGAGCCCCGTAATCTCGTCAGTGTAATGGGATTATATTTCAAATCACCGCGGCCTGTTCATTACCCATTTAAACTCCTGTGACAGAGGAAAACTTACATAAAACGCACGGCAGCCCTCACTGACTTCCCACTCTCTTCCCTGATTAGACAAACAGATGCTGAGGTCTGGAATGAAAAAATAATGTGCCCATTTATTCATTTTTCTGACAAGTCACAATAGATTTTTAACTGCCAATGAGTGACCTCCCAGAGGTGCCTGCCAGGCGAACGGTCATTTCCGCCAGCGTGGCCCCCCTGCCCTGGCGGGGCTGCTCCTGGGACCAGAGCTGCTGCAGTCTGAGCCCCTCTCCTCACTCCACACGCCAGGCTGCCTGCGGGGCTCTTCACTGTCCGCGTGCAGAGGGGCTGGGGGCCTCCTCGCGGCCACGGGGACACAGCCATGGCCTGAAGTCACCCAGCTCTGCCCTTGGCTAGCCGGATGACTGAGGACACCTTTAATCTCCGGGAGCCTCAGTTGTCCCATCTGTGAAGTGGGGCTGGTGGGAGAGCTCACCTCCATGGTGAGTGTTCAGGGGCACAGCTGGGGCTGGACGTCTGGGACAGGAAAGAAACAGGCCACCCAGCGCCAGGCCCGTCCGCCACCCCGACCTCTGGCCATTGGGCTTTGCGGGTGGGCGGGGTCACGGCCGCAGAGCTGGCAGGTGGAGGAGTCGCTCTGGCTCCCTGCTCTGGTGCTGCCTGGAGCAGAGGTAAGCTGGAGGAGGGACAGCTGGCTTAGGGCCCCTGGGTTCCGGCCTGAGGGTCCCCCCTCCTAGTTCTTTTGCTCCTGAAGACTCGTGACCCCTGAGCTGAGCCAGACGGCCCCCATCTAGAGGGTCCCTATGGCAGGGAGCAGAAAGGGCCAAGCCTCTTTTCATCAGTCGGGGATCTCTGAGCTCAGTCTCCACGATCCCCAAACCACCTCCTGTCTGGTCACATGTGCCCACTCCCCACCCTCCACCCTCCACCCTCCTGTAGGCAGATCCCTGGCCCTGGAGACAGGCAGGGAGGGCACCTGGGTAAGGATAAAGGATTCCCCTGAGGCCTGGGGTACCGCCCTGGAGCCAGCACACACCTCACGCTGTGGCAGACACAGCCAGTCCCACCTTCCACCACCCTCTTCACGCCCTCCCGTGCCCCTTCCTGAATGGGCTCAACCACAGATTTGCGAGGGGCAAAGCCACCACTGGGGGCCAGGAGACAGGTCTGTTATATTCGGGTGCCCAGCCCCCTGCCCAGGGCCTGGCATGGGGGTGGTGGCAGAGAGCACTTGCTCTACCTAAACTCAGCCCTTCACCCAACAAGGGTCTGGCACACCCTCTGGAAGGGTCTGTTCTAGGTGCTTGGGCTGCAGTGAGCGGGAACCCAGGGAATGGTGTCCTCCAGGCCCCTCACCTGGCTGGGAAGGCCGGCTGGGACGGAGGGCCTGGGAGAGATGAGGGCCAGAGCTCCAGGGCGAGTGGGGGCAGGCCAGGGCTGGGACCCAGGGATGCTGGGGGAGCAGCCAGGTGGTGAAGCGTCAAAGAGTCTCAAGACTGAGCTGAGAATCTGCAGAAGGAATGAAAATCTGCCTCCCTGCTGTGTGACCTTGGACCCACGACTCAACCTCTCTGAGCCATTTCTCATCTGCTCAACTGGGACAAAATCCCACCTCCTTCATGGAGTTGCGGGAGGAGTAAATAAGATGAAGGCATGGGCCTGCGCACAGTAGGGGATCAGTAACAGGGAGCCATGGAGACAAGGATGCCCAGTCACATCCTCCCTGGGAACACACAGGCCCAGGCCTCTCCCTGCTGGCAGGACCTCAGGGCTCAGGGGCCACCCAAGCCTCCCCCCCACCCCCCACCAGGGGAGCCCAGGATCCAGCTGGGGGCCTGCACCCTCCCTCCAGGGCCCGACCATCCGCTTTCTCTCACAGGTACACGCCTGCCTCAGCCCCGTAGCCCCAGGCAGGGTTCAGAACATCTTTATGCATTAACTGTGAATACATGAGAAATACTGTGAAGCTAATTCTTTCTAAAATGATAAAATTTGTCTATATTATAGCATTCCAGCCCCCAGCTTCCTGAAAGCTAAAAATATTTTAATGTCATATTTCCATGTAAATTTTACTTTAGAATTTAATACCCTTTTAACATACATTAAATTCCTAGTGTTCTTCCAGCCCTTGACTCTTTTAAGGGCTTAGCTGATAGGCGTTGGAGAAAAGCACTGGGGGAGGCTGTAAATTAGTAGAGAAAGTTCTAGAATCAAGGTTGCCCCCAAACCTTCGTGCCCACCTCATCTTGGGAGTTGCTCCTCTGGGTTGGGGAAAGTCTGGGCCAAACCCTGGAATCCTGGGGAGGTGTTGGAAGTCTCGTTTCCTGCTGTGGCTGGTGGCTTTTGGGGGGACCAGGGAATCAGCACAGCAGCGACCCAGATCCAGGGATCCTGGCACTGCGGCCAGGTCAGCGTTCACGAGCAGGTGATCAGCTCCACAGAGGAGGGGCGATGACGAGTGGGTGCAGAGCGTGTCGCTGCGACTGATCTGCACGCAGCTCCAGTTCCCAGCGTGAGACCTCAGTCACCCAGTACTGCAAGGACTTTGCAAACTCAAAGGTGCCTTCGCAAAGCCCCACGACTGGCCCATGGGCTGCCGCCTCCCCTTAGTCCTCGCCCTGGGGCTCCACCAAGAGCAGCCCGGAGAAGGCCCTGCAAATGGCGAGGAGGGTTCACAGCAGCCTTTGGGGGGACGTGGGGTGGAGGTTTATGCCCCCTGGGCTCACAAGGCTGAGCTCTGGGGCCTGCAAGGCACTCAGGCCACCAGCCTTGACCTCTGGGCTCTGGGCGGCACCGACCTGGGCCCACACACCTGCCATGAGTCACCATGCCAGAGTCCCTGAGTGAACCCCCAATTTCTCCAAGGACCCATCTGTGAAATGGGGGCAGAGATAACGAAGCCTATCTCACGGGGCTGCCGGGAGGACCGGAGAGCAGTGCATGGGAGGGACCACACGTAGGAGTTGTGAACACGAGATGCATAGCAAAGAGCTCGCTCGCTCGGCCGGCCGTCCAAGCCATCATTAACCAGACAAGAAGTGCACAACGTGGAGGCAGGAAATTCGCTG